TTCGAGAATTCGACGGCAAAGTTTCAGCCATAGTTCTTAGTCTTCCACCGTGTCTCCAGGCTGTGATATTATTTTCGATGAAGTATTTCATTCTTTTCATTCTAGAACTACGTAATACAATACACACAAATGTCTTTTATTAATACCGCTTCCAACAAGAAAAGGAGGAAAAAATTAAAAGAAAAAAAAAAAAAATCTAACAAGAAATATAAAAGAGAATAGGAGAATAAAATTTAAAATCTATCGTGGAATCAAGGAATTATTAACTGTTGTTTGCATCGTTAATATGGATGAATCAAAAGTTTTCATCATTACGAATCGTAACTCGATCGTTCATGTCGAAATAAAAAGAAATCGAACAATTAAAAACAAAAAGATGTATACATACATAATACACGTATATAAATATAAATATAAATATAGATAGATAAATAGGTATATATATATTTATATTTATATATATTTAATATAGTGGAAGATTATTCTCGCACACCGAATTGAAAACTATATTTCGAAAACTAGAGGTACTTATCTGTACGGAGCCAACATTTGGATAAATTAAATGTAAACGCTTAAGTAGAGTTGATCCAATTTAAATTTATTGTCAAGTATGGTTTATATCTATAAATGTGGTCTCTCTCTTCTACGTGTTGCGTGTTGCCCTTTTGTGTGTGTGACGACCAAGCCAGTAAATTTTTACTCCTTGTTTAGCGTGGACTGTTCATCATCAGATTTTCTCGTCTGTACGATTGTACGTTTCTTGTCATCGCTACTGAAAGTAATCAAATCGTATGAAAAAGAAGAGAAAAATCGTAACCTAATTAAAAACCTGTTAACAATTAAGTGCGTTGCGAATGAGTCTCACTTGTAATACACGTGTTATTTTACTGTGCCACACATGGTTCCTTTACTCAGTTGCTTCCGGAACAGAGAAACAATCGATGATTATGCCTGAATTTGAAGTGTGCCAGGTTGCTTTAAATCGGCATAATCTAACTTGTTTATCGCTAGTCTAGTCGAAAGCGTTTAAAAGAGAATATTTCTTGAGTAACTGGATGTAACAGTTACAGAAAGATTGGGTAATGGGTTATCCTATTGATTGCATATCTTCGAAGCGTTGGCAATATCGTTCCCATAAAAATTCAAAATATTCGATCGATGATATTATTATAATTTGGCAATAGTGTAATTTATCATATTCAGGGAAGAAAAGAATTATCTGACTACGATGAAACGTCAACGCGTTAAATGTATGCATCAGCATAAATCCATCATGTTCCTCGCGTACCATTTCCGTTTTTTTTTTTTTTTTTTTTTTTTTTT